TGTGTGTGTGTGTGTGTGTGTGTGTGTGTGTATAGTGTCACAGAACTATTGACTAAGAGCATAAGCACGTGAAGTAGAAGAAGAAATCAGATGAGCTAAGAAACGAAAAATGAAAGGACAGAGGCAAAGAGACAGACAAACTAGAATGACACAAAACAGTGTCCTCTTCTTCTTTGTTTCACTGTATTCTTACAGAAAAAAATTACACTGAACAAAGGATAAAAATAGAAAACAAAGACACATTGAAATGAATTCAAATCATTCAATTTCTCAGTCTTCTTAACTCCTCCACCGTGCCTCTAACGTACAAGGCTCGCCATGTTGATGAGGTTGAACGCGAGCTGACCCCATCCCCGTATGCCATAACAGCCCACTTGCACGCTATGGGAAAGAGGCAGCGTGAAGGAAGAGGTGTTAAACACAAGGAAGAGAGAAGCAGAAAAGGAAAATCGATAGGCAGAGGGAGGGGGGGAAAAAAAAAAAAAGGTGACACAAACATCTTCTTTCTTTTACTGCATTCTTCTTTCTTTCACAGTTTTGCAGTTTTGGTTCTACCACGTTCGCTTTTGAGCACACCTGCCCTTCCTTCTTCACTTTTTATTCTCATCTTCACCCTTCGTACTTTTTCTTTGAGGGTGTTAGGGTGCAGGGTACAAACAAAGTAAAATGGGACAAACTAATGTTCTTCTTTTACTGCATTCTTCACTGTTTTGCAGTTTTAGTGAAGGGTTTCCCACCTTCGCAAATTCTTGTACACTCTTTTCAGAGCACCTGCACATTTTCGTCAGGGTGCAAGGTACGTCTAAGTAAGACCCTCACGACAGATAGGACAACTATCATAAGGATGTGGGCGATCGCAGCAGCCCTCCCACTGACGAAAACCATGCAGGCAAGCAACTTCACACAGCAGGAGCCAGGATGGCTAGCATCAACCATACCTCTGAAGCATGCACGGCAGAGGGCATGCCGGTTGCAGGCCATGACGATTGTGGGGCGTTCACCATCACAGTCAAGTGCACATTCGCTATAACGCCCGCAGGCATATATATATATCGTCACAAACAGAATATATATCTGTAGAGTTTTCCATCTGGTGTGGGTGAGTGATAGTCTACTTTGATTTTGGTTAAGGTRGATTATCAYTTACAGTGTAATCAGTGAGGGGATTCTGCAGACTGTTGAGGGTTCAGCCTCCTGATGAGTCGGTGAAACTCCGACGAAACAGTTTGTCACAGCCCCTCGTTTGTTGTCCTCTTCTCTCTCTCTGCCTACGGTTTTACCGGGCAGTTCTGTTTGTGACGAACTGCCCGGTAAAACCGTAGGCAGAGAGAGAGAAGAGGACAACAAACGAGGGGCTGTGACAAACTGTTTCGTCGGATATATATATATACCGTCAAACAGAGCTGCCTGGTAAACCGCAGGCAGAGAGGGAGAGAGGACAACAAACGAGGGGCTCTGAAAAACTGTTTCGTCCGAGTTTCACCGACTCAGCAGGAGGCTGAACCCTCAAATGTCTGCAGAATCCCCTAACTGATTACACTGCAAGTGATAATCCACCTTAACCCCGGTTGTTGTTAAGCATCAACGATCCCTCCCCCCCCGTCCGCTGCCTCCACCGACAGGTGAGTGGTAAATGGGTAATGTTCTGTCCGCATTCTCTATAAATGCTCAATCGGCATTGGAGCAAGGGCGCGAGAGAGAATTTGGTGCTCAGAGAGAGAGAGAGAGAGAGAGAGAGAGAGAGAGAGAGAGAGAGAGAGAGAGAGAACTTTTCCCGCCCCCATCCACCTTCTCCCCTGACTATTTCCTTCCAGTAGCCTTTTCGCCTGCCCTTATTCTACCCATCCCCTTCACCCTGACCCTTTTCCCATTTGGA